CTTCCCCCCCCCCCCCAACATGTCACCTCTGTATGTCCTATACCTTTGTGAGCTGTGTAGAAGATCAAGACTCTTGTGTTACTGAAAAAAGTTATTTCCAGTCCCTCATCTCGACAGTTGTGTAATTTGTGCAAAGTGACCACGTCTGAGATCTCATCTCTCTCCCTGCCCCCCTCCCCCTCCCCGCCCCCTTTTCAAAAAATAGTTTTTTAATTCTTATTATTGAATGTCATTTGTGTATCTCTCTATCCTGGCGCATACCCCCGTTTTACTATCGCAACAGAAGCCAGCAAAAATAGGCAAGAATAACTTTCAATTGCAAAAATACATGTACATGGGACTTACTGTGGAATCCCATGAGTTTCTGTCTGGCTGCAAACCAAGAGATCCTTGACGTGCCCACTTTGCGCGAGGGCCACAGCTTGTAATGGACAGTAGCAGCTCACAGCATGGGGTTCACGCTGTCACTACTGTCAGTATGAAACATTCATCTGGTCCTGGTCATAAATGCCTCGTTTATGACCCTTTTCCGTATTGTATAACCTGGCTGTATTAGACTCCGGTTCGTTTGTTAGTCCATGGGCCTAAGCCTTATAAGGCCACAGATGGGTCATTATATGTCCAAATGTTTGAAAGAGACCTGGACTGGAACTAATGCGGAGACATTACTAACCTCCTCACAAACGATCACCTAGCTCTAATTCACGTCCTGACCTTTGGTTATTTAGGGTCCTCTTTCAGCCGCCCTGGGTGTTCATTTCAGAGAAAAGGAAAAGTTAAATCAACGATGAAAAGCACAACTACTTACAGGGCAACTGTCGTGGTTGAATTATGTTGTGTTGTTGATCACATTCGCTAACTATTCAGATGCATTAATGTATTGTCTGGAACAAAAGTAATGCATAGTTTGTATACCCAGCTAGAAACACACAAGCGATATACAAATTCTAAACTCAAAATCAGGTGGTAGACATTGATTTGCTGTAATCGAGATTAAAGAATAATTTTCATTTACGTTAGACTTAATAGGGAAAACATCCTTTTCATAACATGAGGCTAATTTCGCAATATATTCCAACTGTCTATAAAAAAGCCATAGTTCCGTCCAATCTGTCCGTGTTTAGGTAAACGTTGTATGTGAGTGTGATCGTTGCACCATCCCTACACCACCCCTAGGTAGCTGTTACAGTAGTTGTGTTCCCAAAGTGTGGCTGTGTCTTGGTGTGAAGGTATTGTGCGGTGTTTGTGTTGTTGTTGTTGTTGTTGTTGTTGTTGTTGTTGTTGTTGATGTTGTTGTAGTTGTTGTTGTTTTTCTACCACGCACTGGTAAGATTTAGAACACGTTAATGCTTATGGCACTTTTGCTATTCGTGTATGTCTGAGAGCGTCTGAGCTGAAGGAGCACAAAAGTCGCCATGACCTGACGGAAAAACAAGTTCTGATTGTTACCTTTTATATCAGTGAAAAGTTTTTGTTTCCCAGGGAAATGCTGCCATTTTCTAATGACAAAGGTGTGCCACACTTGCCTATAGACTGCTTTTAATGGCCCATTTGTAAGACAATCATAGCTCGTTCGTAGAAAGTCTTTCTGAACGTTTACAGTAAGCAGTAATGGACGTGGTACGTTGGCAATAATGTAAAAGACCAGTTAGAAAAATGTTCCTTGTGAATGAAACGTAAATCCACCAGTTCACTAAACGGATGTTGTCAATTAGTGTGCTGTGTACAGTGGAAGGCGGGTAAAATGTTTGAAGCATTTCATTTTTTGTTCCATCTTAAACTTTTCATTTCTGCCTTCAGCGTGTGTTGCCAAATGAAACCCTGCATCTGTGGCACAGAACAAAATGCTATTTCTGTTCTGTATTGTTGCAAAGACAAAAGAAATAGGATTCCTTGCACTTGACCTTCTAATTCTCACAAGCTTTTCTAGCAGTTTACAATGGTGAAGGCATTGCGTAACCCGTCTGTTTGGTTGTTTTTTGTTGTTGTTGTTTTGTTTGGGGGCTGTTGTTGTTTTTTTTTTGGGGGGGGGGTGTTTTTTACTAGGTCGATCTCTTAAGCACAACCGACATAGCCTTGAAAAGGGCAATACAATTAGCGCTTCCTGCAACCTTTTGAAATAGGCATGGTGTGTGAGCTCTTGCTCTTTCCCAAGGGTGGATATCACGTTTCCGGACAGAGAAAGAACAAACCACGTCTGTGTTTATCCAGAAAAAGTGGCATTGTTCTTCAATTCACTCAATTTTGATAAGCTGTAGACATTCCAGAGGACAACTGACAAGGAAGTAATGTTTTATTATTATGAATAGTTCATTTTCCAAGTGATGTAGACAATGGAATTTTATTTCCGCCCAGTTTTGATCGTGTTGAGAATTAAGAGATAAACATGTTACGGGTTTATCTCTAAAGGTTGTTATCTTTGTAACAAAGTTCTTAGACGTGTCTGGAACTGGTAGATTTTGTATCGATGTAGAAATATTGGGCAAACGTACATTGAATTAAAATACCGGAGAATTCGCTTTCGTTTTGAAAGGATTACTGATTTAACATACGCCTTCATCTCAGCAAGACACGAAATTGTATTATCAAAATTAAGATTTTTGACGCTTTTTTATTATTTTGTTTGGGGGGGGGGGGGTGACAAATATAAATGTACCGCTACCACCAGTTCGATGTTTTCCTCTAGTGTGTCGTGCAAAGTATGAACAAGGTAAACGTTTAAACTATATCCTCTCTTCCATAATCTGTCCTTTTTGTAGCAAAAGATTTTCACCAATAAACACAACCCAGCAGCTGAAGCTAAAATGGTTTGAAGAGATATCTGGTCCTCCTCATGTGACCTTCACATTCTTTTCAGATTATCCACCAGTTTGCGGTGGGGATCGTAGTTCGTGACACGTCTACTTGTTATCAATAATTGAATCTCGTAATCACAACTGGCGCCACCTTCGAAAGGACAATAAATACAACTAGAGTTTGGGGACCAGTGTATATTGCCTTGGTAAACGCATCATAACTGAAGTGCAGCAAAAGGGTCGGTCAATTGTTTCGTTGGTGAGTTATGGGCTGTGCAAAAAAAGAGGAGCAGGACAAAATAAACAAGTCTGTTATCGCGACGAGGTAGGCTTCTCATATGTTCATTGAGCACGTAGTCGTGAGATTGCCGGTGGTCTAGTGGTCAGGCTACCGGGCCCGTAATCGTGAGATTGCCGGTGGTCTAGTGGTCAGGCTACCGGGCCCGTAATCGTGAGATTGCCGGTGGTACAGTGGTTAGGCTACCGGGCCCATACTCGTGAGATTGCCGGTTTGGGGGTTCGAGCCTCAGCTCGGTCAGACGTTGTGTCCTTTGAAAAGACACTTTACACGAATTTCCCATTTGGCGCGGTCCTTTCGGGGGCGGATGACTCGAAGGTCCCCCCTCTAAAATAACCATGTTGATGGGGGCGTTAAATCTATACAATTTCACCATGTTCACAAGACAAATAGGTTGACCTACTGGTTTGTCGAGTAGCGCTGTTCTGAGCCAGACTGCCCAAAACCCCGAAATATGGTTATACAATCCAATAAATTTCGCATTTCTATCAGACAGAAGTAATTGGCTCACTACAATGTAAAATTGTAACACGTGACATTTTGAGGTTTAAGCCTCAGTTCGGTCCGACATTGTGTCCTTGGGAAAGGCACTTTACACGAACTTCCCACTTGGCTCGGTCCTATCGGAGACGGACGTTAAACCAGGAGGCCGCGCCCCTTAAATAACCAAATTGTGTTGATAGAGGCGTGAAACCTATACCATTTTCACCAAGGTTTACGTTGAAAAAAATCCGTAATGTACTTTCAAAATGGGGTCACTCCCCCCCCCCCCCCTTTCCTTTTCTCGCGTCATCTTGAGGAAGGTATACAAAATACATCAACATCTACTTGTAAATACTACACAAATCCTCGTATGACACAGAAGGAATTGGCTCATTGCGATGTAAAATTTTAACACACGTGACATTTCAAGGTTTAGATCCATGCTGAAAATAAATCTGTATGTCAACGTA